ACTCAAAACACAAAACTGAAACACAAAGAGAACACCCCTTAGCCTTTAATACTTTTTAGTTTTTTTTTTTTTAATTACTGTGCTAATATTTTATTATTATTTTTTTTTTTGCTAACAATAAATTAATGTAAATAAACTTCAAAACTCCCAGATGGGTCATAAAATTTTGACAGAACAATTAAAACAAATTAGTATACCGTAGCATTCTCATTGGAAAATGGAAATTATGCGAACATTATGAACTCACAAAGTTTGACAAAACTTCTCAAGTCAACTCAACAAATAAATAAAAAACTAATGAAATACAAAAACAACTGTGGCCTGTGGGTCATATAAAGGACCCCTTCAATTATCGGGGCTCCATTGCCCAATGATTATGCCACAGCAGACCCAAGAGCAAAAATATTTTATGCCATGACTCTCTCTCTCTCTCTCTTAATTACCTCCAAGAACAACATATAGAAGAAGCTCTAAAATAAGCTTTGGTAGGAATCAATATCAGATGCTTGTGAATCCAATATCCCCTTTCCAGCAGGGCTTGAGCTTAAAATCTTCTTTATGGAGGAGAATACTGCTTTTCGGAAGTAGCCGTCGCTTATTGTTTTCAGGATTTCTACGACAATCTTGAAGTCCAAGGCACCGGCCAAAACGAGGCCCCCAATAATCTCCCCAAAATTTGCTGGAGCTTTTGGTAAATCAATGGCGAGATCATCCAACAATGCACTGTAGAGGCGGCATCCGGTGGCTATGTCCTTCGGAGTAAGGACTTTCTTGGCCAACAAGTATTCGAGAAGTTTTGTTACCGGTTCAACACATGGAGGGCTTTTCTCCAATCCAAGGGAAATGGCTGCCTTGACAATTTCAGGATGGTAAGAGGGCGACTTCAACTCCTCTATACATTGTAACGCTTCATCCACAAGTCGGATGCCAAAATATTCCTCCAGCAGAGAATCCGTTTTTCTCTTGAGTTCATCTGCATTCAAAAACTGGGCAGGAGCCACCGGCTTGTCATTAACTGGTGCAATTGATGGTGGCGTAGCCTGTCTAAATGGAGCAGGGGCTTGAGATACAGGTTCCATACCAAATCCTCCATAATCAGCTGCACGAGATGGAGGGGGCACACCACTCCCTTGCGAGAGGACAGTAGTTCTACCAATCATGAAACCACCACTACCTTGAGGTAGAGATCCCTGGATAGGTGATGGAGACTTGTCAAATAGTGGTGGTTGAACACGGCCAGCAGGAGCTGTTGAACCATCGCCTCTTGGCATTGACCGATACCTTGGAACTTCCCAGTTGTCCTTGTCCATTCCAGGCATCTTTCTTGCTCCAGGCATTCCGGGCATCATACCACCAGCACCAGGCCGATTAATTGGGAAGCCACCTGGGCTAATACTACCTTGAGCGCCGGAAGCAGGTCGGCTATTTCTAATGCTAGCAGTAGCACCAGGACGTAAGCCCAGATTCTTCTCAGCTTCCGAGTGGATCTCAGTGATGGTTTTGGCTTTCACCTGCAACATAAGGGTGGGACATCATGAGACCTTTTAACAGCAATGAGCATGAAGAAGGTCACTTGTATGCTCTGAAGGCTCACCTCTTCCCGTCTGGGAATCCAATTATTTGCACGCAGATCAATAACATCACGAATCATAAACTTCAGTCGTGCGGCTAGCTGAGAGTTTGTTGATAATTCCTTCAGGTGATTGAAATACATGTCATTTATACGCTTGGATTTTTGGTTCTCGTCGAGCTGTTTACCAATGGTGTGAAAGAACTGACATATGGCCTCAACATTCTCCTCTGCTGGACAACTCTTGGTATCATGTCCTAAGAGTTGCTGTTCACAAAACCCATGTTATGCAAGATAATCTAGAAAATTATGAGAAGAAAAAATGTAGAAATAACAACTAGAGAAATAATGTCATCAGGAAGAGAGGGTACTAAGGGTGAGAACTAGGGTACACATGCGTGCCACTGGGTGAGTGTGCACATCGTGCACATGAGAGAGGGAGACAGAGAACCTGCACAATGTGATGAACAATCCTCTCTGGAACCATCTTCTGCTTCAAAAGCTCCCCAATTAGACGGATGTTTCCAAGTGTACGGAGTTTGACCAACCTTTCCTTATCTCTTCGTTCTGATTCTTGCTCAGGAGCATTCATCTGCCTAACCTCTTCCCTCAATTTGTCAGCCCCTTCAAATGCCTCTTGACAGTTATTCAAAAGGATTCGTTTGAATGTGATTTCTTTTCCGCCAGGCTCATCAGAAGGGAAGTTAGGGAGCTTCTCCTTTAGATCAGAACACAGAAGCGCATACATTGGGCAAAATGTGGGCTCCAGCACAGCCTTGTCAAATATCAAGGAGATGACTCCCTGCACGGAAATGAAAGACAACATAAGCTCTAGGTAAGAATATGCAACGCAAATTAAAGAAGAAAATACGTTGCCATGCAGGCATTAGTGTTAAAAGTAGGACCTCTAAGATATCAGGCGTTGTGATCCCAGAGTCAATCAATTGACCCTTTAAAAGATCAAATTTCTCAGGAGTCAGCTTGTTCAGTATACTGCAACAAGAATATAGTGTCAGACATTAATTCTTTACACAAGGACCATGTCAAAATAATGCGACAACTAGGAGTCTAGGCCCGTAAATGCATTGGACATCAAGCAATGTGCTGTTAGAAAGTGCAACAATCAAATCAACATTGTCATGTATTTTCAAAATGTTCGCACAAAAAAAATGTTGTTCTTGAAGGATCTCAACAGTAGTGGCAAGTGCCAAGTAGGCATAACACACTGGTGACAGATCAAGGCTAGAACTGCTATAATAACACCAAGGTCGTTTGAAAATTTTGAGCTTGATGATTAAGTAATCAAAAATAGATTATTAAAAATCCATAATGACATTATGAGCATTCCATAAGAGTAGCTTAAACAAAATAAAATACCCCTTCACTGTCTTCAATACACGCTCCTCCTCAGAAAGATGTCCCCTTCGAGCAGACCATGGCACCTCAGCCTTGATTAGAGCAGGAGTAGATCCTCCCTGTTTCATAGACAAAAAAAAAAAGCATTCATCTTCTTTTAAACAAAACATTACACGACCGTACTTGCCAAATATACCACACGACATAAACAAGTATTCCACTATAGCCTCGTGAAACAAGTTTTGCTTTTAATAATCCTCAAT